TGGAAATATTGGAAAAAGAGCTTGTATTAAATTATTTAAAATACAAATAAAAACCAATGTATTATCTCAATTGATCTTGATATTTTAGACTGACCGGAGGCCGTATTTCTACAGTTATTGCATTAACCAATAACTTGCCACTTATCAAGAATTACCGACTTAGCCTTCATCAGATTGGCACATCTGGTTGGCTGAACGGAGGATAAACTAGTTAACGCTAATAGTCCCTAGAACCTATCTACGGTTGAGCCATCTCGCTACCGAAGTATTCAGATATAAATAGATTTGGAAAGTAAATATAGTTCTATTAATAGAACTAGACCAAATCTTATGTTTGGTATTTACGGGGGCCTTTTTAATATTCTTGTCCAAATATCTGATATGTAAAATGGAAAAGGTATCTATAAATAAAACCGTTAAAAACCATTTAGGAAACTTAAGTTCCTCGTACTATTAAGAGCACGTTTATAGTTTACGTACTGCTTAAGAGTACGTTTATAACATAGAGTCTAATGTGGAGGCCCGGCTACTACATTTAGAACTGAGAACCTTAGTGAAAAAGTTCAATTACAGGCCCATAACCTGTGAACTTGTATAAACCTTGTTTCTGAAGAACTGGTTTGTTTATTGTTGTGAATCCTAGAGAACATGCATTTAAATACAATTTTGGGAAACCTCGTCACCTCGTGGGCCGAAGGTCGTCACGAGAAAAACTGGTTTAGGGTTATAAAAAGCCTTGGTTTACTGTGACAAATATGTAGAGCTGTATTCATTTAGACTGTAAAGACTTAGTAAATGATGGCTGGGAAGCCGTAGGGACTGAAAGCATAAATTCATAGGGGTAATTTATTTGTTCATATGTACAGTACATACAGACACATATTCGCGTTTATTGTGTTGTTTAAAAAACAACAGATGTATGTGTGTATGTATTTAAAAAAAAATACATATTTAGACGTTCCTGCTCTTGTGTGTGTTGGCTGTTGGGGAGTGGGAATCTGGGATCAGTGGGATCTGTGTGAACTGGGAACTGCAAACTGGGAACTGGTAACTGGTAACTGGTAACTGGTAACTGGTCTCTGAAACCTGGTCTCTGGTATCTCTCAGTGAGACTCAGGGTTATTTCTAAAGGGGTATTGAGGATATACTTCCATGGGGACTCCAAGGGGGTATAAAAATAGGCAAAAGGCGTTTTGGACAGATTTTGAGAATCGGCTTTTAAAAAAAAAAGCAAAGCTATTATTAAAACAACAACAACAAAAAAACATACATAAAAAAGGCTTTCAGTGATAAATAATTCTTCTTTCTGGGGCTTCTGGGGTTTGTATCTGAGAAGTAATGTCTCACGCTGATCCTTGTAGTCCTTATATATTCGGTCGGGGTCCCATTTTTGGTTTTTTGTCCGGCTTGTAGGACTGGGTCTTGTGTTCGGATTCTTTCTAAAAAACCCCAGAAGACTTGTTCGGCACTTTTAGAGTTATTAAAAACATCCTGTTGTTCAATGTAAAATAAATCACGGCTGGGAAGCCGTGGGGACTGAAAACGTATTTAATAATGCGAGTAATTTGTTCGTTCATGTATATGTACATAAATATTAATGTAAATCCGGTACATGTGTATTCTCGTTTATAATATTTCTTGTAATTTAAAAGAAAGAAAGAAGAGATTCTTGCAACAGCCGACACGACACATAAAAAATAATAATACTTTCAGGGCTTCGAATAAACCCAGTTTGAACCTACAATACTATGTATTTAAAAAAAACCCCCAAATGTCGCGCCAAATCCGACTACTCCACACGGAAAAATAAACATGATGATTGCGGAAATCTAGGTCAGCGTGAATACAGTGCACGCCGCTCTTGGAAGTTCTTTCATTATATTTTAATTAATTATTACAATATGTATACATATTTTTGACCTAGAGAGACACATAGAGAAGGTACACGGTTATAATATTCCCAGAACCTCAATAATTAGCTGCTCTGCTCACGAAACATGGCAGAGAAGGGCATGAAGTCGCCCGCCGTTCTGGGCGGTATAGCCTTAGCCGCTGTCGTTGCCATAACAACCGTGTACTACCTGACAGCCAGCAGCGACCCGTTGCCCGCTATTGATTCAAATAAGAGAAAGGATTCAAATAAGCGAAAAGAAGGTGTCAAGACTGATGGCACTGCAGCTGCACCTGTAGACACAGATCTGAAGAGTGCCGCGAGCAAGGATGCGCAAGGTTAGCATATAAACACAGTGTGAAGATTGATATTAGATGGGGAGTTACTTGAAGGTTGTACAGCGAGTGGGTCGACTATGAAGTGATTGATAGTTACTGTATTGTTTAAATGTAAACAAAGATGTAGAAATCATCTCATGTCCGGCTGAACAGATGCTTGTTAAGCATTGAACCGTTCTATATATATATACATATGTATATGCCTATACATATACATATACATATACATATACATATACATATACATATACATATAAAAATACATATATATATATATATATACACATATACATATACATATACATATACATATACGTATACATATACATATACATATACATATACATATATATATATTTATGTATGTATATATGTATGTATGTATATATGTATGTATATGTATATGTATACGTATGTCTATTTATATTTATATGTATATGTATATGTATGTATATGTATATGTATATGTATATGTATATGTATTTGTATATATATATATGTATATATGTATTTAAATATGTATGTGTATGTGTATGGGTGTGTGTGTATGTGTATGTGTATGTGTACGTGTATGTGTATGTATATGTGTATGTGTATGTGTATGTGTAAGCGTAAGTGTATGTGTATGTGTTTGTGACTGTGTATGTGTATGTATACGTATACGTTTATGTATATGTAGATGTAGATGTAGATGTATAAGTATATGTATATGTATATGTATATGTATGTATGTGTTTGTGTATGTATATGTATATGTATATGTATTTGTATATGTATATGGGTATACATACACACACACACACACACACACACACACACACACACACATATATATATATATATGTATGTATGTATATATATATTTGATGAACATACATACATACTTACTTACATACAAACATACATACATTCAAACATACATACATACATACATACATATGTACATACATACATACATACATACATACATACATACATACATACACACATACGTACATACGGACATTCGTTCATACATACATACATACATACATGCATACATACATACATACATACATACATACAGACATACATACATATATACATACATACATTCATATATACATACATACACTCAGACATACATACATATATACATACATACATCAAATAAATACATACGTCAAGTTCGTATCTTCAGTTAACAGGCAAGCGTTCATGTGTTTGTAAAATGTTTCGACTCGTGCTTTGTATGAACCGTATTTTAGCATGTTTTATACTGTGCTATCCTTTGTTTTTTTTGATAGTCGACAATATCCAACTATCCTCTGAACCCGCAGCGCCTGCGCCTTCCAAAGCCGAGAGTCCCAAGGAGACTGCCAATCGGGTCAAGAACGAGGGCAATTTATTGTTTAAAGAAGCCAAGTACAACGAGGCCGTGAGCAAGTACACAGAAGCACTGGATCTCAATCCCGATCCCGAAGATCGGTCCAAGTACTATGCAAACCGCGCCGCTTGCTATGCCAAGCTCAAGAACTACGAGCAGGTTATCAGCGACTGTACGGATGCGCTGGAACTGGACCCGCGATATGTGAAGGCCTTGCAAAGGAGGGCACAGGTATGTTGGTTAAACGTGAAAGGGGATGTGAATGTGAATGCTACTCAGGTGCTGATGTGATGTGATGGGAGGAAACGTTGTTGTTAGTGCTGTAGGTTACGATTGCTGCGTACAATACTGGGTGGTCCGCGACGGATTGGCCTCATGGGACGTCGTGGTGTGTGATGTAGTGTGATTGATTGCACAAAGATGTGCCACCCGTTAGTCGGTAGTCCCCACACCCCGAGTGGTTACGTGATCAATTATTTGGGCATGGGCGCTACACACATAATAGGATACATCATTATATTATAAATACTATGGCTATAGGTACCCCACTATAGTGTTCGCCCTCACGCTATAGTGACGGGTTTGATGCAATACTATTACTCAAACGATCCAAAATGTATCAATATAACGTAGGATGTACCGTACAAGCTGGAACATCAATCACTACTCGAGCACTCGACCTTTTTCCAGAACCTTATTGCCCTGTTTATCTAATTATGTGGTTTGGTCGAACTAAATGTATTTTATCGCAGGCGTTCGAGATCACTGGAGAATTGGAGAAGGCCGTCAAGGACTACACACTGGCTGTTTCACTCAACCCACAACAGCAAAATGCCCAAGCACACAATGTCATTGAAGAGCTTTTACAACAGGTATACCATGTGTGCAGC